AGACACTAGTGTTCAGCTTAAAGTGACATGTAAAGGCTTCACTAGGGTAATTAGGGTAAAGTTAGGGTAATTAGGCAAGTCATTGTATAACAGTGGTTTGTTCCGGAGACAATCCAACACTAATATTGCTGAAGGGGCCAATAATATTGAGCTAAAATGAGTTTAAAATTATTTAAAACTGCTTTTATTCTAGCTGAAATAAAACAAACAAGACTTTCTCTAGAAGAAAAAAATATTAAAGGAAATACTGTAAAAAAAATTTAATCTGTTCAACATCATTTGGGAAAAATTTGACAAAGAAAGACAAATTGACAATGAAGTAAACTGAAGTCCAGTCTATTTGTCTATGATTGAGTTATAGAGTTGTTGGTGGGCTTTGTGGAGGTTAACTGTGGGCAGAACTGAATCAGTTGTGTGGGTTTTATACATATATATATATTGTGTTTGTGCACATTTCCCTCAGATATAATGTAATGTCCACCTGTAATATTCTGCAGCATCATATACTGTAAGTCCACATGCAGAACTTTGCCTTACAGCGCCTCCTGCTGGACATTGAAACACACACACACACACACACACACACACACACACACAAACTCATTGACCAAAATACACTCACAAATATTGTAAAAACTACACTTCGTTGCATTCCTGATCAAATGTTTGAGGACACTGAATTATTCCAGAACATTTGATGCATAAAAACCAAAACGACACTCATAGCACACAACTTTAGCACAATTAAAATGCTCTTTATATCACTGATCATCATATTTACAGTGCATGACAATGATGACAGATTAGCAAAGTGTGTGCATTTGTGAGTGTGTATCTGCCCCATCATGAGAATGTGATGTGTCCGGCTGAGGAATAGTATCCTGAGCTGTCAGTGGAGAATCTCTGTGAAATCTGAACTGAATTCAGCTCAAACGCTCCAAAATAAAAGTCCCCGAACATCTGTAAAGAGAGAGACAGAGAGAGAGTGAGTGTGTGTGAGTGTGTGTGTGTGTGTGTGTGTGTGTGTGTGTGTGTGTGTGTGTGTGTGTGTGTGTGTGTGTGTGTGTGTGAGAGAGAGCAAGTACAGACTTTCTGTTCCACACACAGTCCACAAGGCTGTAAAATCTGCATAACACTGTTGCATTTCAGCATGAGACTTGTTTTTTTCAAAGATATACCTTATTAGATCATTTTATACATACCCGAGATCAAAAATAACCAAAAAAAAGAGATGTGCAATATTTTAAACAAACTTTAATGAATATTTGTACAAACAATTAAGAAATTACTATAATAATAATAATAATAATAAAATATATATATATATATATATATATATATATATATATATATATATATATATATATATGTATATATATTTA